ACAACACATAGTTCTCTCTCTCCATCTAACAGAAGAGGCTGTGAAGGTGTTGGACCGTTATCTAGGGACAGTGAAGGGCTGAATGGAGACTAATAAACTGAGGCTGAATCCTGATAAGATGGAGTTACTGTGGGTGGGTGGTTCCCATGTCTTGGTCTTGGAATTAGGTTTATGAGCTGTCCTACAGGGCTGCAGTCCCCCTGAAGGCACAGGTTCATATTCATGGAATACTGAATTCCCATGTGTCACTGGAGTCTCAAGGGGCTCCTGTGACTAGGAGTACTTACCGCTAGGTTGGGCTGATTCACCAGCTGCAGCCATTCCTAGATTGAGACAGCCTGGTCTCAGTTGTCCATGCTAGGTGACCTATCACCTGGACTACAGTAATGCTTCCTATGTGGGGCTGCTCTTGAAGATGGTCCAGAGGCCACAGCTAGGGCAGAACATGATTGCTAGCTAGTAACTGGGACAGGTCAATGGACCATGTGTCCTGGAAGCACTGCACCAGCTGTCAGTGAGCTACTGGGCTCAATTGGTATTAGTGCTAGCATACAAATCCCTAAAAGGCTGGGGATGCAAGTAAAGATGCCTTCCTGAATCTCACCATTGCAAACCCTACAAACAGCAGATGAGGCCTTGTTGGTAACGCCACCACATGGGGTTTCCAGAGTTGATGGTCAGCAAGGACATGGGCCTTTTCAGTGTTGGTTTCCCATTTGTGGAATGCCCTCCCTAAGGAGGAAAGTCTGTCTCCCTCATTATTGACTTTCATGACTAAAAACGTTCCCGTTTACCCAGGCATTCCATTCTCCTGCAAGTTCAGTAGGGAACCACCAGCAATTCACACAAAAGGAAGCTTTCCTTTTTTATTTTAAAAAGTGCATTAGGCAGACATACCTGCTCCCCAAAAGGAAATGACACCCCCCTAAAATGTTGATGGTCTGTAAAATTTCAACATCTGCCTACGTTTGACTTAACTTGCAACCCTTAACATGGCCAGGTGTTCCTGTGTACCCTAGATGCCTATGATGCCTGGATGCACAAACAGAACTTGGGTAAGTGAACAAATGTACACCTCTGTTATGTGTACCCAGCAGTCAGAAATTCTGTAAGTATAAGTGCACACACCTGGCTGATCCCGGAACAATCTGCCCACCACCATCCCAAGGAAGATGCAAGTGTGTGAAAGGACAACTTCCTCGTTAACTACCAACAGCCCCGGCTTCTTTGCAAAAGATCTGCCCTGCATTATGAAGTTAACATCATGCCCCGAATGCCAACTGTGCTATCAGCAGGCACAACTATTTTATGCATGACTATATACTTCATGCCCCCATATCTGAGGGAGACAGAGGCAGTATGAGAATCACATGTTGGGGGAGAGCATTGTTGCACTCATGGCCATAGGCACCTGCCTGGCCACTGTGAAAAGGATGCTGGAACAGAGGGGCATTTGGCCTGATCTAACAGCAGGGCTTTTCTTATGTTTTGATGTGCACATACCCAGCTTTGAGGTTAGCAGGGTGGAATGAATGCATAGCATTTTTTTACATTATATGGAAATGCCTTAACAGGTTTGGACTGATCACAAGTCAGTCAGTGTGCCCAAGTATATTCATATAGGACAGGTGATAACAGAACTAGTGCAAAATTATATGAAACAGAAACAAGCTTGTTTCTTGAACTAAATCTGGCAGATATGAGACAGGAAAAGATGTTTTATCTTTCCACTTAACACAGACTTTCCAGACTACAGGTCTACTCAGGCACTGACATGTCTCAATGTATACTTTTGCTGTTGCACAGCTGTTTGTGTTGTGAGCTGCATTGAACATGTGAAAAAGCTACGTATAACTGAAAAAATGATAATGACCATGAGCAGAACATAAGAACAGGAGAGAAGATGCCCTATGGATCAGATCAGTTGCCCAGCTAGTCCAGCCTCCTGTTCTCAGAGGCAACTGTAAGTTCTGGCTCCTTCCTCCCCAATCTATACCGCCAAACCTAATCCCCCAAATTCAGGGAGGAACATTTGCTTTGTATGCAGGTGTTATCAGGCTCAAGACCTGTCACCTGGCATCTCCAGTTAAAGGAGTTAATGGGCCTTCAGTTAAAGTCAGTCACTGGCAAGACTCTCAGCCTGAGATCTTGGAGAGCTGCTGCCAGTAAGAATAAATAATACTCAGCTAGATGGGTCTGGCTCTGTATAAGACCACTTCAAATATAACAGACTAGCAAGCAGCTTAATTAAAGAGCCCTTTTTTGCTCTCTGTAAGGGCAGTCATACAGTTAAGGTAATTGGGCAGAGCAAGCCATCACACAGAATGAATTAGTAACTTGAGAGATTTGCCACATGGATTGCCCAGTCATTCAAAGGGACCTGTGCATGAGCTGGCATACTTTTGTATCAATCTGCAAGGAATGGTAAACCTCTCTGTTCACACCATCACCACCTCAGGTTTCCAGGAGATTGTGCACACAACCACAGCTCCCTTTGAAAGAGGAAAGCCATGACATTTGCTGAGTGCCATACGGTGTTTGCTAGTGCAAGGTCCTCCTACTGTCTTAGAGACCACAGTGACAGCTACCAAACCACAGCAGTCACTGCAGAAATGCCCCACCTTTATGACTCAATGAGACAAGCCTGTGTTTCCCACCAAAACTCCTTCGACCGAGCCCAGCAGATACAACAGTCTTCGTCAACATCCCCCCACTCCACAACAAATGTTCTGGACTACAGCTCCCATCAGCCCCAGCCAGCGCAGCTAATGGAATCTGTAGTCCAAAACATCTGGAGGGTGCCAGGTTGACCAAGAAAGAGATATGAGATAGTGAAGAGACATCGTAGACAATTGGAACACACTGCCACTTTCTACAGGTAATAATAATAATAATAAATTTTATTTATATCCTGCCCTCCCCAGCCTTAGCCGGGCTCAGGACGGCTAACAACAATAAAACAGTACAAAAGTACAGCATAAGCTATACAGTACAAAAGTATAGCGTAAGCTATAGTTCCACCAACACCAATGCTCTACCGGAATTGATTTCCAAGTGTCCTAGTCAGGAAAACCCCAAGTGCAAGAAGAATTAGGATGCCTCTTTAAAACTACATTGGTAGGTCCTTCCCATTTACAAGCAGCTGCCTAACAGCCAGCTCTACAAACATTTTATCATGTAAAGGAGGCTATGGGTAATTCTCTTTTTTACTTACAGATAGGTAGCCGTGTTGGTCTGCCATAGTCAAAACAAAAAAACATTCCTTCCAGTAGCACCTTAAAGACCAACTAAGTTAGTTCTTGGTATGAGCTTTCGTGTGCATGCACAGGTATCTGAAGAAGTGTGCATGCACACGAAAGCTCATACCAAGAACTAACTTAGTTGGTCTTTAAGGTGCTACTGGAAGGAATGTTTTTTGTTTTCTCTTTTTTACTGTTATTTTTCACCCACTCATGGAAACCCCCAGTTGTCTCCTACTCAAGGTGTTCAAAATACCCCGAAAGCCAGGTGCATTTTGCTATTGGAGCTGGTCTAATTGTGACTATGTGGAGATTTCTGGGTGCCAGGTAGCGACTGAAACCTCCACTGAGCCAGTGTCATGTGCTTCTGTGTTGCCATGTGAATCATGGATCCCTTGCTGGGCATCTTAGTTCCCTATCATCAGTGCAGGGCTGAGTACAGATATATTTCACTGTGCTGCAGGCCACCCAAATGGAACTCATGTCTCTGCCTTAAAGGTAAAGGGACCCCTGACCGTTAGGTCCAGTCACGGACGACTCTGGGGTTGCGGCACTCATCTTGCTCTATAGGCTGCGTTTGTCCGCAGACAGCTTCCAGGTCATGTGGCCAGCATGACCAAGCCGCTTCTGGTGAACCAGAGCAGCGCACGGGAACGCCGTTTACCTTCCTGCTGGAGCGGTACCTATTTATCTACAGTGGTGCCTCGCAAGACGGAAAACCCGCTAGACGAAAGGGTTTTCCGTTTTGGAGGCGCTTCGCAAAACGAATTTCCCTATGGGCTTCCTTCGCAAGACGAAAGCCCATAGGGAAATCTCCGGGACAGCGGGGAAGTGCAGCCCTCTTGACCTCAACACCACCACTGCCTCCTGCAAGGCCTTCCACCTGCACATGTAGCTTTGGCTACATGGTGTTACCACAAAAACAAGCTGCACCCTACAGTCCTCTATCTGTCCTCTTCTCCCCCCACCCCCAACAATTCAGCATGCAGTGGGGCGGGGAGAAAAAGGAACACGGGGAGGAACTTCCCTTCCTGACAGATACACCCTCTTTCTATTTCCCCCGCCCATGCCTTGTCTCTCCCCCAGAGCCACACCCAGCCCCTTGCCTCTCTTTACTCCAACCCGGACCCTGACAGGAAGCACAAATCACTCTCCTCAAGCCACCACTACCCGATTCCTCTCCCCCAAAATACAAATGCACATCTGGCTCCTCCTCCCCCCCCCCCGAGCGTATCTACAACGCCTCCCCACTTTTTACTCCAGCCCAGATCCTGACAGGAAGCACAGGTAACCGCCTAAAGTGAAACCTGGAGTCTTCTTTCCTCCCCGGTGCCCTCTCCCCCAGGGGGTCTCAGACCGGCCCTCCCCCTTTCCAGGACCTGACAGGGAGCGCGAATAACTCTTTCTCACCCCCACCCAGCCCTGCTCCAGAACCAGATCGGGTCCTGGCTTTTATCCCCCGCCTCGCCTCACCACCCCGATCCTGGCCAGAAGCACAAATGACCCCCTCGACACCACCACCCCTGATTACCCTACCAGCAGCCACCACACCTGGCTCCCCCGCCCCCGAGCTGTAACCCCAGGCAGGGAGCACCAACAGCTCCCCCCGTGAGCCCTCCGAGTGACACCTGGATTCTATTCTCCGCCCGCCCCCCCCGCTCCCCTCAGCAGCCCTCCCCCCTCCCCCAAGAGGACCCAGGCCGGCCTTTCCCTCACAGGAAGCGACTCCCCACTTCCCCAGAGGAGTCGCCGTCTTCTTACCATGATGCCTCCTCGGGACGGGGCCTCTCAGCAGTGGCGGGGGGGCGGGGGCGGCTACGACGGCGGCTCTTCAGTCCCTCCGTCCGGCCTCTCCGAATTCTGAGCCAGGCCGCAGCCCTCCTCCACCGCCTCCCTTCTTCTTCTTCTTCTTTTTGCCACTTCCGCCGTTGCCTAGCAGTAGCGCATCCGGGTCAGCGGCGCGCGAGCGCGCGAGAATAGGAACTGCCGCCGCCGCCCCTCAGCTCGTCAGCCAATCAGAAGGCGGCTCACCGGCCATCGCCAAGTATGGAGCTGGAGGCGGTGCGCGGCGCGGGAAGGAGTGGGAGAGACCATTTTGGGTATGAATGGAAAGGGGGAGCAGGCGCAGGTTGTGGGAGGGACCATTTGGTTTAAAGAGGGGAGGGGGATCTCCGAACAAGGGGACACGAAGGGTTTGGGAGGAAGAGTCCATTGGGAGGACTAATGAGGGGGGAGAGTGAGCGCAAAGGCATGGGAGAGACAATTATGCTGAAGAGGGGAAGGGGAAATCCAAAGCAAGAAAGGAAGGACTTGGGAGGGAGAGACCATTTGCTAGCTGGAGCGGGAGGAGGGTTTGGGAAGGGAAAGACCAACTGGTGGGTAATAGAGAGAGGGGGAAAACAAGAAGTTGTGCGGGGGGGGGTGACTCAAGATGGGAAGAGCCTGTTTCCCCCTAATCTGCAACATTTACCCAGAATTTAAAGGGAAAGGGCGCCTCCCCCCACTCCCCACTGCTTGATCCCAACAAGAGGTTCAGAGAGGGTAGACTGCTCCTGAGCCTGGAGGTTCTTTTCCTAAATGTCATGGCTGTTATATTCCTTGGGGAATTCAAAACAAAATAATAATATGAGCCTGCTGGGTCACCCTAAAGAGACAATCTAGGCCCTTCTTCAGTTTTCCTACCTCCTAAACCTGTGGGTTTAAGCAGGAGTGGCACTATTACAACTGTGGCTGTGAATCTTGAGAAGGAGGAGACTTGATGGAGGGGCATCAGCTTTCCATGCAAAGCATCCAAGATTGGATCCCCAGCATCTCCAGGTAGGGCTGGCAACATCCCTGCCTCAAACCCCGGAGAGCTGCTGCCACTCAACAATGCTGAGCTAGATGAACCAAATTTTTGACTCAGTATGCGGCCGCTTCCTTTGTTTATATAGTCCCAATAAGGTTGTTTACCAGCAATGAGGAGTTGCACTCCTTCTGCAGTTTCGTAGTTTTGGGGTGCTCCTAGATCCATCACTTGTCAGAGGCCCAGGTGACCTCAGCAGCTCAGAACACGTTTCCAGCTTTGGTTGATGTGTCCACTATGCCTGTTCCTTAACAGAGAGAGGCTTGCCATAGCAGTCCATACATTAGTAACCTCACAATTAGACTACTGTAGTTGCAATATTCATGGCGCTTCAGCGCCTGACTTCTGCAAATCAAGGCACGAGAGTGGGGCAGCCAGCCTCTGCCTTGCTCCATTGGCAACTCTATATACCACCCTACCCTGTCTTCCTATTACAGTAGTACCTCGGGTTAAGTACTTAATTCGTTCCGGAGGTCCGTTCTTAACCTGAAGCACCACTTTAGCTAATGGGGTCTCCTGCTGCTGCCAAGCCGCCAGAGCACAATTTCTGTTCTCATCCTGAAGCAAAGTTCTTAACCCGAAGCAGTATTTCTGGGTTAGCGGAGTCTGTAACCTGAAGCGTATGTAACCCGAGGTACCACTGTATGTGCTTTCCCCATAACCAGGAAGTGATACGAGCACTGTAGAAACTGTTGCACTTTCAGCAGAATTTAAAGACATTTCCTGGACAGATAACAGAATCAGAGCTGGTGCAGTACAGTATTTGATGTGGATGGGACGGGGTACTCCGATATATTGGAGCTGTAACAGGAACCGCATGTCCCCGGGGGAGAACTGTTTCAGGTTTTCCACAGACATCACATCAAACACACGGGTCCTGCAGGCTGGAGAACTGCTTTGATCTCGCTGTGAACTGTGTTACGGCAGGCTGCTTTGTGGCTGGGAGCAGAAAGGCTGCCTGCTCGCGCGGAATTGGTAAAATGCCCACTGCTATGGATGGAGGACAGCCTTTCTGTTCCTCTATTGTTCCATGGATTCACCCTGCCCCCTCTCTCGCTGCGCCTGCCTTCTGTTTTGACCTAGAGGTTTCCCTAAAATTAATCCCGGTACTGGTGCATGGTGACAGTTCTCGGTTCAAGTCTTTCCCCCTTTCTTCCGGGTTACTGATGCGCACCAGCGCATAGGTGCATGGATTAAATCACAGCTTCAGAGGAAAATGTTGATCATAAGAAACAGCTTTGCGCCGATTCAGGCCATGTAGCTCGCTGTTGTCCACTCCAAGGATAGCCAAAGTGGTGCCCTCCGGAAATCTTCCAGGTTGCTGATGTGCACTGACACATAAAGGGCATGGTTTAAATCGCAGCATCAAAGAAGAATGTTGTTCATAAGAAACAGCCTTGCACAGAGTCAGGTAGAGCCGTAGCAACATGGGGGCTAGCTGGGTTTTTTTGCCCCATGTGACGCCTCCAGCCTGTGTGTGTGAGTATGCAAATGCGTAGGGGTATGTGTACTAAACTGGGTCTTTGATCCAGGTGAAATAAAGCCTAGTTTCACCCCTGGAGACCATTGATCCATCTAGCTCATTACTACCCACACCAAGGGTAGACAAATTAGTGCCCCCCCCGATGTTTGTTGCACTGCAATCTATGCTTGTTCTCATCATCCTTGACCGCTGAATTCTCTTCTCCTTTTCCTTACCTTCCACACACACACATCTCAAGGTGACGTTCAAAATGCAATAAAGACAGCTTTAAAACCGCTGGAATGAACACAGACAAACTTAAAAGCAATACAGTATAAAGAAGACACCCGTGGCAGAGACCCACGTATCCAGCTGCGAAGGCCTGTTGGAACAGAAGTGCCTTCAGCTGTTTTTTAAAAAATGCAGATAAAGTGATCGCCTGTGGTTTCTTGGCAGGGTTGCTGTTCCACAGCAGAGGAGCAGCTACACCGAAGGCCCTGCTGTGTGTTATGGTCAAGTGGGCTCCTGAGATCTTTTTAGTTTAGAGAAAGGCAAGCAGGAGGTCACATGATAGCATAAAATGACGCCTGACACGGGGAATGCAGATACAGAGAAACTTGTCTCCCTCTCTCATAACGCTAGAACTCGTGGACACCCAGTGAAGCTGAATATCAGAAGATTCAAGATGGAGAAAAGGAAGTCCTCCTTCACGCAGCGCGTAGTTAAACAATGGAACTCACTCCCACAAGAGGCAGCGATGGCCACCGGTTTGTATGGTTGTAAAAGTGGATTAGACACATTCACAGGGCTGTCAGTGGATAATACCTATATCCTCTGCCTCCACGGTTGCTGGAATACCAGTTGCTGTAAACCACAGGAGGGGAGAGCGCTCTTGTGCTCTAACCCTACCTGCTGGTTTCCCAGAGGCATCTGGTTCGCCACTGTGAGAACAAAACATGAGCGTAGCAAATATTATTGAAAAGCATTGAAAGTATGCAATTATCTGAGGTTCTCCCTGCCCCCCAGCAGAAGCTTGCCCCCCGCAACTTTGATTTCCTTAAAAAAAAACTCAACAACTTTGGCTGCCCCCCTCCCAACCCAAATCCTGGCTACGCCCATGGAACAAGATGTGGGAGAAGCGCATCGACTGGATAGCTCAGTTGGTTAGAGCATTGTGCTGATAACACCATGGTTGCAGTTTTGATCCCCGTAAGGAACAGCTGCAAAGGAGGCTGGACTACTAGATGATCCTCAGGGTCCCTCCAAACTCTTATGATTCTATGCCTAGATGAGCAATTGGCTCCTCTTATGTTTAGGAGAGCTTCTTCTGTGCAAAAGAGCTTTCTGCGTTCCTGATCTTGATTACTTGGTACTCAGCCTCGTCCAGCTGTCTGTGCTCATTTACCACCCTGTGAGCCTTAAGCTTTCATTCCCTCCATGCAGAGGTCTCCCCCACCCCACGTCCTACAACGCATCGCCCTAGCCGTTCACTCCATCCTCTTTCCCACCAAACAAATGTGCTCATTTCCAAACGGGCCCTGCCATAAACATCCACGTGCATGCAGCTGGTCCTCATTTCAGACCATGTTCTCTCGGAGGCTGGAGAGCGCAAACATTTTTTGGCCGGTGAACTTAAATGCAAATATTTGGGGCAAAAACGAAAAGCAGCTGTTTGATCCTTTTTATACCTCTTCTTAAGAGCAAATACAAACCCCCGCCTTCCACCACCACCACCCCGGTGCTTGTCTCTGAGCCATAAAGGGGGGTGGGGGACATCCTTGCCTTGAACTCTGGATGTGTACTAAATAATGATTAAGGAAATGATGCTACGTGGACTAACGAATCATTCAGGAATCTCTACGGCCTTTTGAACACACATGGAGTACCACCGTCCATGGGGTGGGGGGCAGACTGAATCGAGCCAAAAGAGAAAATCCTAAGAGATTTCCCACCCCGTACTCTTGGCTTATGATATATTTATTTTTTAAGGTATTCTGTTATAAAGGAGAATGGAGGTCCAAGATGAATCTCAGGCAGTGTCTACAAGTTCTGTTATTATGAGAGAGGAACAAAAACTTATATGCACCTTCTCCATGTCAGGACTAATTTTGTCGCCTTTTCTCTAAACTAAAAAGTCCCAAATGCTGCAACCGTTCTTTGTAGGGGAGTTGCTCCAGCCACCTGATCATTTTGGGCTGCCTTTTCTGAATCTTTTCCAACTCTGCAATATCCTTTTTGAGGTGACCAGAACTGTATGCTGTACTCCAAATGCAGTCACATCCATGGTCTGGCTCCATATAAAGCATCTTAATTAGATTCTGTATCTCCCAGTTACAAGCGTACTAACAAACATAGTCAAAGAGGTTAGCTTGATAGCACTTAACCTGTTCGCAAAGGCACCCCTTTAATAAGGGGTCTTTTGGATCGCATGGGCAGTGACAATCAATTCCCATACACGCACTTTCTCTCTCTATGTTACAGGAAAGGGGGGGAGATGCTGTCTTTATGAGCACTGGAAAGCATTTCATCACAGTGAGCCAGGATTTCTTCTTTAAAAGGGTTTTTTAAAGTGTGTGGGGTTTGTGGCAGATCTCCCAAAGATTCACTGCATGTGGAAAGAAGCCATAACCACCGGCCTTAAGCAAAGGAGAGCTCTCTTTAACTCAGTAACCCCCAAATGTTCAGCTACGGGACAGGTCAGATCCACGCATGACAAGGTTTCCCGTTCGTGCTTTAAGATCAGTCTTTGAGGCCCCACTGGCGTTAGATTGTAGTGTGCTCTGGTAGCCTGTAGGTTAGATTACTGCACATGGGGCTACTTCCCAAAGGCTGTTTGGAAACTGCAGCTAGTGCAGAAGTCATCAGATGGAATATAATTATTAACTGGGACCAGAGTTCCTTGAAAGAGGGACTGGTGGTTAAACCACTCTGGGATTTGTTGCTCAGTGAGGGAAACAGGAACCCTACTAACAAATCTCAGCTCTACAGTCCCCAGGATAATTTGGGGGAAGCCGTTCCTGTTAACGTGGTACAAGAGTGCTTTAAATGCATGGTGCGGACGTGACAGAGTGGTTAACTTGTTATTTACTAATCACTGTGAATGTGGCTTCTTTAAAAGCTTACTCACTATCATGCTATGAACCTGGTTCCCCTTTGACTCCCCTCCTGCCCTTAAAAATTCCTCTCCTTTTTCCTTATTTATTTATCAGGCTCGGCATTATGAAAAGTGCTTGTAAAAGTCATGAGATGGCGGCGGGGAGGATTTGGGAACAGCGTCATCTGATAATAAATATCCACAATTGCATCGGATGGGTTTAATTGCTGGTGTGTGTCCATGGCAACTGAACGGGGGGGGGGGGGGCGGACCCTGACCTTTTGTATACATTTTTTGCTCTGCCATCAACTTTCTTTCCCAGGAGGTGGGAAATGGATTCAAGGCTGCTAATGGAAAACGTCTTCCAGACTGCTCTTTGATAGCCTGGCGACTCCCGGATTAAAAAGCAGCAGACGGAATTCACCGAAAAAAGAAAAAAACTCAGACTTAGGAAACAATTAGATGGGATGTTTTCCATACCTCTCAAATAGAATTTTGCACCCTGGGGAATCTAATGCATGATGACTGCCAGAGACCACGGGTGGGGGAAGAGAAGTTCTTTGGGATAATCCGATCCATATTCAAGAATGAAATCCTTCTCAGTGAGACTGAGAGATACATTTAAACTGGTATACTGTTGGTATACTACCATGGTTATGTCATCACACAAATCCAGCTGAGAGTAGGCTGTGCTGGAAAGGGTGCAACCAGATTGGCACGAGATTCCACATGGTGATGGTCCTGTCCTGTGGTACAGGCGGTGTTGCCATGTCACATGGGGCAAGTCCCATGCCAGGCATGCATGCACCCTCACAACCCTATCCTCCCCTTGAGCCCAGCCTGGTTTTTCTTCCTTTGCACTTCCTCACATCGCTAAGCCCTGGAGACGGAGGTTAATTGGGAGTGGGGAGGGAGCAGAAGGGCGGAACCCCCCATCATTGGAGCCTATGCCATAATTTGTAGGTGGCTCCAGCCAGGCTAAAGCTTGCAAGTTGTGGCCACAGTTATCATCATAATTTAAAGGCTCTCTCACCTACCTGGATATTCAAGACACTCCCTTGCCACCTGCAGGAGCTGTGGAGGAGACAGGCAAACCTGGAGACTGTGGGTCAGCCTTGAAGGTCTGGCAACCCTAGGTACAGACTTGGTGGGTCAGTGTTTCTGTCTGATTGGTTACTACCATCAGCAGCCAGGGAGAATAGCATAAGACCTTGAGAACGTCTTGATATTTACCAAATATATATTTTTTTAATGGCATGTTATTACCCTCCAATAGCAGTAATAGTTAATTGTGTATTGTGAATGCACTGACCCAAATTGTATTTTGCATGTTCATTTTTAATTATCATGCAGTTGCAGTTTCCTTTTAATATTGTTATTTTAATATGTTAATGGAATATATACTTTTGATTGAATAAAGAATGAATATATATATATTATATTATATCATATTATACATATGAAACCAAGAGTCAGGGGGCAATAATAATAATGATAATAATAATAATTTATTTATACCCCGCCCATCCACACACACTCCTCACCGTTTCACAGATACAAGTAAGGACATTCTTTGTGTATTTGTAACTTCCTTTTCGTTAACACCAACAATTGCAGCTTAATTTGCACATCACTCTTCTCTGCCCTCTGTATGTCAAACTGAAGCTAAGTGGATTTTGCTTTTTTACAAGTCGGGATATTTTTACTGTTTATTTAAAATATGCAACAGAAAAAAGTAGGAATATGTAAGTGAATGTATATCCTTTTATTTAACCCCCCCCCCAGCCCCAGCTAGCTCAGGGCAACATACAATCTCCCCAGTCACCCACACATTTGTTTAATCTTCACAACAACCCTGCGAGGTAGTGTAGGCTAAGTGGCTGGCCTTACCTCACCTCGTGAGCTCCATGGCTGTGGGGATTTGAACCCAGAACCACCCTATGCCCTTGCCCAACAAAGTAACCAAAGTAACGTGGTGGGTTTGTTTTTGATCTGCATTTACATCCATCTCTTTGGAAAGGGGGGTTGTAAATACCACACAATAAAACTGACGGGCTGAAGGGCCACGGGTGCCTTCTGGAGACGAAGATGCCCGCAGATTACAATTAACGAGGCCTGCAGCCTAGGGTGCGTCCTTCATCCTAGCCTTTCTCTTTCGGGCCTAGCCGGTTTCCGCCCCAAGGTCAAGCCTCCGGCCCAGGTTGCTAAGGTTACCCCAGGTTACCCTTGGCAACGGGAGCCAGCTCTGCCGGGTGGGGCAGCGGAAGCTGAGGCCGCGGAAGCGGAAAACCTCTTCCGTCCCCTCCCTTCAACTCCTTGGGACACTCGCGAGAGCCGCCAGCTGTCAGCCACAGCAGCGGTACATCTCGCGAGACCTACGCCTAAGGAGGCGGGCGGGAAGGCTGAGTGGCAGCTCTCGGAGGGAGCAGGAGGCGGTGGTCAAGATGGCGTCGGAGGGTGATTTGGGCAGGAAGTGGGACCGGTGCTTGGCTGACTCCGCCGTCAAGCTGGGTAAGGGGGCGAGGGTGGGAGCTGTGGAATAAGGAGCGGGAGGAGGCTCGCCCTGTGTCTACGGTGTGGTGCTGAGGGGGAAGGAAGACCTGGGTTAAGGAAGGGGCAGTCCTTGCTCTAAGGCCCTGCTCAGGTTATCCTCGCCTGGCGTGAGGCCTCGTGCATTTAGCAGCTATGTCCTTAGGATTAGAGGGTCGGTGCCTGGCTTGCCAATAAATCGTCGTGCTGCAGGAGTAAGTTATTTATGCACGCACGCAGTTTTCAAAGGCATTTTTTTAAAGGAGTTGCAATGCATCCAAAACATTGCAACCCACTTTAAAAAACCACCAAATTTTTAAATACGGCAGCCTGCTTTTGAAAAGCAATCGGGGGGAGTGTATATATATATATATATATATATATATAATATCTTGCCCCCCCTCATCGCAGACCTTTCTTGCTGGAAGGAGGGGAGGGAACTCTGTTGCAACAGAAAAATAAATATCTGCCTTGCTTTCCACCGGATCCTGCCTCCATTCATTCTTCTCTGACCGATCATGGACTTAGGGGACTCTGAGTCCCATGGGGAGTTGGGCAGCAAAAGCCAAACCCCAGTTTTTACATCAATTTCAAAAGTTCCCCCAAAAGCAATTTTGAAGCACACCCAAACCCTGCAGCTGATTTCGCAGGAGCCAGTCTTCAGAAGGTGCAACCTCCTATATGGTGTCCTGTGCTGTTGCCTTGAGGAGACAGGAGTATTCAGAAATATTGTGAATAGAACTGCCACTGTTCATAGCTGCGTTATGGGGGTCCATGGTGCTGTGTCCCTATTTTTGTCTGGGAAATGTGGGATAGTATAGCGCTGACCCTGGCAGCTATGTGCTCCACTTGGATCATACAGCGCTAGCCTTCAAATGGCCTGTCACTGGAGACAGTCAGTCAAAGTTTGTGTGTAGGAATTGAATAGCTGTGGAGCCACCAATAATGTTTCATTGTGTTGTGTCTGCTGAATAGCTTTCATTGCAGTTAAACTTCTAAAATGCACACTGAAAAGGATTGTCTTCTTCAGCAGTAACAAAAATCATGCTGTCAGGGTGTGTTTACAGGTCTAGTGGAGGCATAGTTCATTGGTTGAGTGCCTGTTTTGCATGGCAGACGTCACATGTTCAATTCCCAGCACATCCAAATAAAAGGTTTGTAGGTGAGCCAGTCTGGGAAAGACTTTGAGATTATGCTGCCTGCGAGAGTGGGCGGTAACGTTCAATTACAAAATAGCAGCAATATGTGTATCATTTCTGTAATATTTAGCCGTTTGACGCCATCACAGCAGTTGTTGTATCAGTCCTGTAAGGTGCACTCAGTATGGGGGTGGGGATAATGCTGTGAGAGTGATTTGCCTAAAGCCACCTGGTTTGTCCTTGGGCTTGGCTGAGGTGAAATCAAAACTAATAACTAGTTCTGTGGTGTTATATTTTAGCTACCACTCCCAATTCCTAGCTGATGGGGCCATTGCAGGTTATTGATGGTAGGGGGTAGGGTCACTTCCAACCACAGTGGTGCCCCTGGCTTTCCTATATTTATTTTATTTGTTCCATTGCATTTATATCCCATCTTTTTCTCCAAGGAGCTTAGTTTGCAGGAGACTGAGGTGTTGATGAGAGTTTGGGATTTCTCCTGCGGTGTGATGTGAGGAGGAACCTGCCTAACTGAGATCCATGTTGGTGCAGTAGATGGTGTGTATGTTGGATTTCTGCTGGGAAGATCTGGGTTCAAATACCAACTCAGCTATGAAGTTCTGCCTTGGGCGGATCGCATTTAGCCTAACCCATCTCACAGTAGGTGATAGAGAAGGCAGTTGCTCTCATATCCTGCTAGTTGTACTAGTTGGGCCTTGGCCTGATCCAGCAGTCAGGCTCTTCTGATGGCTGTGAAATGGAGACCTGAAGGGGTGGGTCTGTGTTGAGACACAAGGAAGCAATAGTTGGGAATAGCTGAACTTAATTACTAGCTTAGTACAAGCAGAGAATGAGTTCAGACTAATGTGGAAGGATCTAGGAGTCTTGATTGACCACAAACTTGACATGAGCCAACAATGTGACGCGGCAGCTAAAAAAGCCAATGCAATTCTGGGCCTCATCAATAGGAGTATAGCATCTAGATCAAGGGAAGTAATAGTGCCACTGTATTCTGCTCTGGTCAGACCTCACCTGGAGTACTGTGTCCAGTTCTGGGCACCACAGTTCAAGAAGGACACTGACAAACTGGAACGTGTCCAGAGGAGGGCAACCAAAATGGTCAAAGGCCTGGAAACGATGCCTTATGAGGAACGGCTAAGGGAGCTGGGCATGTTTAGCCTGGAGAAGAGGAGGTTAAGGGGTGATATGATAGCCATGTTCAAATATATAAAAGGATGTCACATAGAGGAGGGAGAAAGGCTGTTTTCTGCTGCTCCAGAGAAGCGGACACGGAGCAATGGATCCAAACTACAAGAAAGAAGATTCCACCTAAACATTAGGAAGAACTTCCTGACAGTAAGAGCTGTTCGACAGTGGAATTTGCTGCCAAGGAGTGTGGTGGAGTCTCCTTCTTTGGAGGTCTTTAAGCAGAGGCTTGACAACCATATGTCAGGAGTGCTCTGATGGTGTTTCCTGCTTGGCAGGGGGTTGGACTCGATGGCCCTTGTGGTCTCTTCCAACTCTATGATTCTATGATTCTATGATTCTATGGAAAATTGATTCCCCACCAGCCCCTTCTTGCCTCTGGTTCCTATCACCTCCATCTTGTCAAAAGGTTTTCTTAGCTTGGCTGCCTCTTGGGATTCTTTCCAGTCTTTGACCTGCCCTGCAAAGCTATTACTGTCTTTAGGACCTGTGTGATCATATTAAGGTAAAGGTAAAGGTACCCCTGCCCGTACGGGCCAGTCTTGACAGACTCTAGGGTTGTGCGCCCATCTCACTCTATAGGCCGGGGGCCAGCGCTGTCCACAGACACTTCCGGGTCACGTGGCCAGCGTGACATCGCTGCTCTGGCGAGCCAGAGCCGCACACGGAAACGCCGTTTACCTTCCCGCTAGTAAGCGGTCCCTATTTATCTACTTGCACCCGAGGGTGCTTTCGAACTGCTAGGTTGGCAGGCGCTGGGACCGAGCAACGGGAGCGCACCCCGCCACGGGGATTCGAACCGCCGACCTTTCGATCGGCAAGTCCTAGGCGCTGAGGCTTTAACCCACAGCGCCACCCGTGTCCCTGTGTGATCATATTAATCCCAGCCAAATTAAAATATTTTCCCTTCCTTGAGCACTTAGGAAGTTTGTGAACATTCTATGCCATCATTTCAGCTCAGCCAATCTGCATTGGAAGCCACAAATTCTATATAATATGTGTCCTTTGCCCAATCGTTGGCATGCTCATATCCGGGCTTGGTTTTGCTTTGTGGGTCACTAAGTTGATTTGTTTTCGTTGTCACTGATGAGCATTAGTGAGAAGAGGTTGGGACTCTGCCCTCTTTCCCAAGGTAGGAGGGTGGCTGCCCCCAATGTGTCTTGATTCTCCTGCAATCCTACACAGAAAACCTCGCATGAACCCCTTTGAAATGAGAGTTGTGCAACATGTTCCCAGTAATATTGCGCCCAGAGTTGGCTGTGGTTTTGAGGTTTCTGTCTGCAGCCAACTCCCCCGTTCCCATACCGGGAGAAAGTGCTTTTAAGTTTTGTGTTATAAGACTTGTTTACATGCAAGTGGGGCGGGTAAGAAGAGCAAGAAGAAATAACAATGATCCAGTTTGAATTGTAAATGAGTTAATAATCAGATTTGTGCTTGCTGTTGCAATTTTCTTCTCCTCTGGCTTCTTCTGGGTAGGTATTAATTTGATTTTAAATGAGCAGGTGTCTCATGCTTTGTAAGAGGGATTGAGGATGTGATAAGAAGGTTTCTGGGTTGATAAACAACCTAAGTAGAATCTTGCTGGATCAGGCTAAAGAGAAACCATCTCTGGTCCAGCATCCTCTTCAAAGCAGTGGCCCACTAGATGCCTTCAAAAAGCCCACAAGGAGAGTATGGAGGCATCGGCTATCCTTAGGAAGATAGAAAGCTGCCTTCTTCCAAGACAGAGCATTGGTCCATCTAGCACAGTACACTGACTGGCACATCAGGGTCTCAGACAGGACTCTTTCCCATTCCTCCTGGAGATTTGAACCCGGGACTGTCTGACTGCAAAGCAGATACTGAACTATGGCCCTTCCTTTAGAACACATAGGAAGCTGCCTTTGACTGAGTCAACTGCCTTATCTAGGGTAGTTCTGTCCATGTTGACTGACAGCAGCTCTCCAGGATTTCAGACGGGACATTCCCAGCCTACCTGGAGATGATGGGAATTGAACCTGGGGCCTTCTGTGTACAGTACGGGTGCTCTTCCGCTGAACTGTGGCCCATGTTTGTCCCTAGCACCTGACAATCATAGGTAAATTGCGTCGGAAGATGGAGGGACAGTTTAGTGGTTGATAAGACTTCCCCTTCATGAAGTTGTTGTAATCCTTTCATAAACCATCTACAAAGTATTGATGGAAATTGTCAGAGCTTAGAGTAATTCCATATTCATACTTCTTTAAAACAAAGCATAATCACACAACAAAGTGCCTGTGGGTCAGTGCCCAAAATCCCCTAAGTGCCAGGCGCATTTTGCGATTGGCACAGGCCCAATTGTGACCATTTGGAGATCTCTGGATGCTTGGTTGGTGACAACCTGTCTGGCCCCTCCAGCTTTCTTAAGCAGGTAAGCAGAAGAGCTTATTTATTGCATTTATATGCATACTTCTGCATCTTGAGAAGTGGGTTTGGTGAGCCCCTTTGTGCACAGCAAATTTCGAGGCTGCTGAGTTAGATGTGAGTGTGTGTAAGCTCTTGGGTTTCACAGAGTTCACAGTAAGATGGAGTAATGAAGACTTCTGTGAAATGTGAGAGCTTGCATCAATGTGAAGCTGTGCCATTTAAAAAGTCAGCATTTGACTTATTTGTGGCTGGTAC